TGAGCTGGCACCTTACTTGAGCTTTTCATAGCATTTCCACTGCTCTGTTAGACCAACTGCTTCTTGAATTTTTAAATTTTTTTTTCAATTACAGTTGATATGCAATATTATATTAGTTTCAGTTGTACAACATAGTGATTAGACATTCATATAACTTAGGATATGATCACCCCAATAAGTCTAGTACCCATCTGATACCATACATAGCTATTACAATATTATTGACTATATTTTCTATGCTGTAATTTACATCCCTGTGACTGTTTTTATATCTGGCAATTTGTTTCTACTTTTCTTCTCTCGGTAAGGGATGGGAGGGAAGTATTTAAAATATACTCTTTTTTTTTACAAAATGAAAAGCTCTGGATGTTGTTTAAGATATTTCAGGGATCAGACAATAAGTATGAGGAGAATTTTGGAGCACAGGGGCCCTTGAAGATACCCCTGGCATCTGTCTCAGTAAATGAAAGTTGGTTGTAGGCAATGTCCTGTTTATAGAGTTTGCAGATTAATCACAGAGTAAATGGGAGTAGCTCTCTCTGAATGGACTGCCCTCTGCCCCATCTCTGTTTCTCACCTGGTGCTGGTAAAAGCTCAGAATAGATAACTCTGGCTTCTGATCAGCAACACCAGTGGCCCAGGAAAGTCTACATGGAATGGTGGACGAAGCAACAAGTTCAGCAGAAGACAGCATTCGTTCAAATCCTTGCTGTGTGATCTTAAGAAAGACACTTAACCTCTCTGTGGCTCCATTTTCCTGGAAATAAAATGAAGATAACAATACTGACCTCTAAGAGCTGTTATAAAGCACAGAAATGAAGTTAAGCATGTACAACAACTGGCACCAACACCTGAGGAATATTCATCCCTCCTCTCCCCCAATATTACAAATTTCAATAAATGACGTTGGGTTTATCTAAATCGTTGTTCTGCTTCCCTGGTCCAGAAACAAACCCCCAACTCACTCCCCAAAATAATCTTGTTCAACCCATCCATTTTTCAGATGATGAAACTGAGGCCTAGAGGATTCAGGGGTCTTATTCAGCCTGCTGTTCCTCCACTATTGCTCTTTGCTCTACACCTTGTTAATTATCACCTTTTTTAAGTTCATGTTGACAACTGCTGGCTAACATTTAGCTGTTTGCATCTCCAGTATGATTCTGTGAAATGTTGTCACATGGGGTTATTTTGGGTCTTAGGCAATGGTCTCCCAAAAGGGTAATGCTAGGAGTTCCTCACAGCTTTCCAGAGGCACCAAGCTGGTGCATGGCCACTGGTCATGAGTCCCAGCTACCTCTTTCCTGAGAGAGGCCTGTTCTCTCTGGACACATTTGTCCTCTGGCAGAAAAGCATTCTTCCACAGTGGTGAGGCTGGAGGAGAGAGTCTCAAAGAGGCTGAAAAAGTTCATTCGGCTTCCTGGCCTTTAATGGTTAGCTTTGCCAGACAGCTGTGCTTTGGGGAGGCCACCTGCCCTCTGTCCTAACCCGTGGTCTGTTAGAGATCCAGAGATCCAAAAGAGTATCTTCAAGGCCAGAGGCTTCAAGCTGCCTTGAGAGCTTCCTCGCCAGCCAGCTTGCCCTTTTCTGTAAAGTAGCCCCACCAGTGATCAAGGGCTCTCTGGTGCCTCCTTGAGGAGTCACATTATGTAAACAGCCCAATAAGAATACAGTTGGTGGGGTCCAGTAACTTCCAAAAGAGTTGTCCTCACAGTGTGGAATGCAGTAAGTCCCACCTGGCAGAACAGGAGCGACGTGTCATGATGGAAACACCCTTGGAGCTTTGTCAAACTACAGCACCTCTCTGCAATGCCATCCTCACTCCCAGCTTCTGGGAGAAACTTGGGAAAGTATTGCAAATTCTGAATGTTGGCAGGTGGACACATTGGAAATCTGGTTGGAGGTGAGGGACAGAGGACAAGTTGGAAAAAACTCCCCAGATGATTCTAATGAGCTGCTCCCACCCCCTAGGGTAGTCAAATTTAGCAAATAAAAACACAGGACATCCAGTTAAATTTGATTTGCATATAAACAGTGAATATTGTTTAGCATAAGTATGTCCTATGTGATATTGGAGACATACATATACTAAAAAATGTGTTATTTATCTGAAACTCAAATCTAACTGTGCATCATGTATTTTATCTGGCAATTTTCCCATCCTCTCCACCCTCAAACAGGAAAGTGACATTTTCAAATACTGTTCTAAAAAAATACACAGTCAAAAATGCAGAGAAATATGAAAAATAAAATTAAAAGTAGTCATAATTCTACTATCCAGAGTTGTTACCCAATGTTAACATGTTAATATTTGGTCTTATTAAAAATATATATATATACACACACACAAATACATACACACAATTCTGTGTGTGATTTATGGTCAGTCATACTTATAAAATTTGGATTATACCAAATATCAAAATAATCAGCATTATATTATGGTTTTTCTCTATAAATTATATGTATATACATGTATACACATAGTGCTTTATTTCACAGTACCTAGCATACAGTAAGTGCTCAATAAGTGTTGGAATAGAAAGTCAGCTTTTTAGAGATTTTACTCCATTCAATTCCAAAAAGTTTTGAAATTATATACAAAGATATATATATTATTAATACGCAAATATAAATGAAGAAATCAGAGAAAGGGAATGTGAAGGTAGGAAAATAAGATAAAATAAAGGTTAAAGTGAGTGGTTAAAAATTCTTAATGAGCAGTTTTAAGTAGAGGTGAATTACAAAGTCTTCTAGCAACCAGTGAAAAGAGAGCAAAGGTCAGTTGCTAGATTCACAGAAATAAAATTAAGAACAGTAACGAGAAGCCAGCTCAGGAAAAGCCTAGCTCTTTCTAGTATTGAGTCTAACACATTTTTTATGGGTCTTCATAAAAAGATTTTCTGTGAGATAGTATATGACAACATCCCTAAAACAATACAGCTGCGAGTTTCAAATGGCTATTTCTCGAAACACCCGGGAGCATTATCCAGGCATCATATCTGAGCATGATTCCATCAAGGTGACAGGGCCAGGAGGGAGAAGGCAGAGGATGCAATTCTGATTCACAGCTTGTTGGGATCCACAGTGTAAAACAGGAGAGAGGCCAAGATGGAGGTTGAGGAGCAATGGAGGATAGAGTTGGCTGGGACCCCATAGCGTTTGAGCATAGTGGGGTGAGGCACATGTGTATATTTGCACACCTTTGGAAAGGAGTAACTGAGAATGCAGAAGCTACCTTCCTCTTACACCCTTCATGGAGCAATCTTCTGCTCACCTGGAACAAAATGATGGGAAGGGGAGGAACTCCACAGAGGAGGGATTTGTAGAGGGGGAATCTTCGAGAAGTGCTATAGTAAACACTTCATATTTCAACTCTGTGAAGAAAGCATCTCCTGGCAGACAAGCTCACAAAATGTGCACAGTTAGTGACGGGGTCATCCTGGGCTTCCATGAGGTGCTATCAGGGCACCCCATTTCCTGGGCCATAAAAACATGCTCTGACTGATGGCTGACATACGAGGTGGCAAACGGTTTCCTTTGGCTCGTGTGTGTATATGTCCCAATTTACAGCTCCCCTGGAATTAGCAAGGACAGGTGCTTCCACTGCTGTTGTGTAAATATAGACTCCTAGTCTGTACTTCATGGAGAAGAACACTTGATTTGGAGAAAACAATTATGGTGAATTCAAAACATAAAAGTAACATCTCTTTTAAAAATATTGTTATTTTTGAATGATTGTAAGCGTGCTTTAAATTCATTGGGTTTTCTACTCAGACCTGTGTGTGCAGACATAACCTGTGCTGTGCTCTGATGATGTCAAGCACTTGCGAGTTTTATTTTTTGCCAGGTACATTGTCTTGTTGGAGCCTGACACTCCTCATAGGTGGTAAAATAGGTGTTGGTGAAGGTTAAATGACTTCTCCAAGGCCACACAAGGTGGCTCCTGAATCCCCAGTTCCTTGCTGAGGGCTCTTTACATGAGATAATGTTGATAGAGTACCTAGCCCCGTGCCTGACACTAGCAACAGGAGCCCAGTAATTAATCATTTCCCTATCTCTTCTTATCTTCTATTAAAGGGACACTTTTAGATCGAGGGCGAAGAGTACAGCTGCTTCCATAGTCTTACCTGCTATTTCCACTTTGTCCAGATATCTGCTTTTCTTTAAGTCCCTACATGGAAATTCTCTAAACACATGTGCTTCATAGAATGCCTTGGAAACCAACGAGGATTGTGGAAGGTTGTCGAGGCTCACATCTATAAGGCTGGCATTAGAATCCCCTCCTGGCCTTCTCGCCCAGGCTTGTCACTGACTCCGTGACCCCAGACCTGTCACCATGCCCCTTTTCCATACAGCATTACCAACACCACAAGGGTTTTGTGAGCACTCGCATCTGAACCAAGGTACTAGGAGAAATATCCGTGCCATTATGGTGAGGAATATGAGGCAAGAAAGACATCCATAAATTCTCAGACAATAAGGTTAAGAAAATACTAAATTCTATGGATGATAATAAGGAAGTGGTAGAATTTATAAGCATGATTAAAGTGCTAGATTTAAACTGTATTCAGCTTAGATTGGAAAGTCAATAACTGTGCATGGTTTGGGTACTTTCTGTGTGACCAGGCTCCTTCCATTAAGTATATAGTTTAATTATTATTTTTGGTTTAGGAATGCATTCTGACTTCAAATTATGTACATATTTCTTTAGGTGCTATTGCACTTTAGGGGGAAGAGGGAGTAGAAGGCGGGAGGAGGGCAAAGCCACAGTGCTAAGCAATGCTGAACCTAAAAAGATTATCTAACCAAATGTCTCCTGAAGGTCCATCTGTTAAATAAACAGACCTAGCTCAGGGAGGGTTGCCTGGTGCTACAAAGGACTATGGAAGACATATATTTAGAGCCATTTTTTTTTTTAATGCAGAAAAACATAAATACCTATAGGAGACTCAAGGTGAACAAGATGGGGACATAAATGCAAATTGATCAGTGCCTCAAGTATGGAAAAAGAGACTAAAGTCCTTCCAAAGGATTTCAGCATCAAAGGTTGGAACAAAGAAGATTTTGCCTTCTAGTAACCAGAACACTCTATTAACCAGATTGGGTCATTCTCTGATATTTGTCAATTTGCATACTCCGATCCCTAAGTCTCCTTCCAGCCAGCAAATTCCCCAACTATGATTATCTTCAATATACAAGCTTATTTCTCTACACTTACTCCCAAATGGTCAACATCGATTTGCAACGTTAATGAAGTAAGTACCCAACTATCCTTGTTCATGAGCTATTACCTCGGTATTGATTGTAGCCTTAATTGACAATTACTTGAATGGGTCGGGCTACACTGAGCTTTTATTAATTTTCTGTTGTAATCTTCATTACTAAACTTCATTGCAATCCTGTAACAATGTAAACTCCCCACTGTGGCTAATGAACTGGAAAATTCCACTGGCCATTTCCCAAACCTGTTTATCCTGGAAAATAAAGAATTTTATTGTTAAATTTGATATCAGCAATCTCGGCCTCAATTTTGTGGGAAGAGAATTGTGGCTTTGGTTGTGACAATAAATAGAATTTGATAAAATCATTTTTCCTTCACTGTTATTTCAGCAGACGTATGTTATCCAGACTTGATCCTCCCCCTCCTCTTTCTACCTAGGGAAACGGTGAACTCCAAGCTGCTGTGAAATCATATTCATTTTTCTATCAAAATTCTTTCTTCCTTTCTTTCTTTGTTAAATTAGGGGTGGGGAAGGTACAGTGAGGTAGAAGAGATTATGTGGTTTTAGGAATTTTCATTTCCTTCACCGGAGCCATGTAAATAGATTTTTTTTTCTACTCTCTCAAACAAAATTTCTGATTTCAAACATTCTTAAAATAATAAGCAAAATATATTAACTCTCAAGACCCTATTGGAAATGAAACTCAGAGCATCATCATGGGGGAACTGTTAGGAAAAGGAAAGGCTTGCTCCCCGGTACACATTTAGATATCATTTCTCCCGGAGACACATTTGGACATCACTTCCCTCTCACAATTAGGCCTCAGAAATCAGAATCAGCTCTAGCTTTTGCTTCTTAGCCTCACAGTGGCCTCCCTTCAGCACCATAACATGCCCCTGACTTAGGTAGGATTGTAAATGTGCATGTTAGGCTGAATTACAACCACACTTGGAAAATGGGAAAATGTAATCATAGGGTTCATTCTTTCTGGTCTATGGCTGGTATTGGATGAATTCGTGTACTTGATGGGGGAAGATATAGGGGAGGAAAAGCACTTTTCCTTTACCATCTTAGGTTCAGTAACTGGGGCCTGTAAATTAAACTAATAAAGGACACATGAACGAGGAAAAAATCATACATATTAAATTTTAATTTTATGTGCATGGAGGCTTCACAGAAAAGAAGTGAATACCCAAGAAAGCAGTTAGACTTGGAAGCTTATATTTCACTATTATTAAGAGCAATAGATTGTGGAGAAGTGACTAGACAAAGGAAAGAAGAGTTTTGGCTTTAGGGGTGGTAAATTGTGGGAAGGTAAATATATGAGGAAAACTAATAGTAGAAGAGCTGTTATGGCAGGGGGAGGGGATCATCGTCACAAAGAAAAACTTATGCTCTGCTCTTTGGCAGATTAGGAGAGGGCTGAGAGTTTCTCTTGCGTATGCTGTTTCTCCATTGCCCTCAGCTCAAAACAATCCTTATACCTAAGTGGCATATTTTGGGATAAGATATTCTGATCCCCTTCAAAGGTAATTCAGAAATGTGATTTATGATTTTTTTTTTTAACTTTTTT